ACTGAACGTAAGGTTGCTATTATTGGATGTCTATTGACTGTAATTATGGCAATACTTCCTCAATTGGCAAACGTATCTCTAAACTGGATGTTATTTAAAATAGATAACGATTTAATTGCAATTATTGGTAGTATTGTTGTATTTTTATGCTTCAATACACAACTGATAATTATTTTACTTATTTTATACAAATGTTGGTTGATACAATATCAATTCAACTATATAATTAAAAATTATGATAAATATAATATAAAAGATATTTATGATTTTGTTATAAAAATTCAGATATTTGTAAAACAATTGGATTCAATTATATCTCCATATATTATGATAACACTTATACTTAATACTATACGGTGTGTATCGGCATTGTGTACACTGTTTACCGGTAATAAGCAAAGTCTAGCGTATAGTATACCTACTTTAATGGAAAGTTCAATATTAATATTTTATTTAATATTTACATGTAGTTTAATACCAAACATATTTATAAAATTATTATATAAACTAAATATTAATTTTAATAAAAATCAAAATAATTATCTAAATAATTGTCATAATAACACATTAATAGTTTTGCTAAACTCTATGAAACACGACATGTGTTTTACGTCATATAATTTGTTTCCCATAACAATGACTACATTTATATCATGTCTAGCATTGATTGTATCGTATTCTGTAATTATTATTCAAACAAATTTCTAATTAATTTAAATTTATTAAAAAAAATAATTATTGATTTTACTTTCATTAACTATGTTAATAAATTTTTGACATATAACTGGATTTTATTAATTTAATGATAATTCATTGCATTTGTCGAGTGATATATATATATATTCTAACAATCTTATGCACAAATCATACATTAAGATTATAACAAATCATTAATTAGTAAACAATATAAATTAATGTGAGTCTATTGATAGCATATTTAGTTTAACAATACAATATAAACTATATTTATATATTTAATTATATTTACTGTACAATACATAATAACTCAAAATAAGTTAATCAATTACTGTCGGTTTTCAGTAGTTTAAGGATTAGTACTATTTTTTTGATGAGAGTTTTGAGTTTATAACTGATTTCATACTTATAAAACTCAATTATTGATTGTATTTACATATTATTTATAATATATTTTACGTTACATATAAAATATAATTATAATAAAAATATTTTATTTATTTGTTTATTATAAATCAATAAAAATAAAATGTATAATAAATAAATATTGTAAAAATGTTTAAATGCAAAATAAGTTATTAAATTGATAAAATGTAAATATTATTTGTTAAATATTGATTGACAAATATATGAATATTGAATTTTGTAATATAATGTAAATCTGTTATTTTGTGTAACATTTATTTTAATTATATAAAATTGAATTTTAATTTAATTAATTATTTGTAATATTTGTTTTTATTAGTAATTTTATAAGTATTAGTAAATTATTGGTTAGTATGAAATATACAAATTAGATAAATTGATATAATTTGTATATTAAATTTGTATTTGATTTTAAACAAAATGAAAGGTTTAGATATTATATTAAATTACTGTATATATACTAATAGTATATATATTAATCGTCAGCATCGAAATAATAAAATTAATTTTAAGTACAAAATGATTAAATTGATTTTTATATTAATTTATATATTGGCATTTTTATATCAATTTTATCAAGATTTTAGTTTTACAATTTTCAATTCAAACAATTTTGGTTTTAATTCATCAAAATCACAAATAAATCATATATTATGTATGACTTCAAACTTTGGCTTTTATTTTCAAACATTTATTATTTGGATATTTATTACATTGAATGGTCAAAAAGTAATTGATTTATTTGACAATTATTCAAATGAATTGATAACCGATTGTATTGAACGAAAGATTGCAATTATCGGATGTCTATTGACAGCAATTGTGGCATTAATTCCTGAATTATTATATACATTACTCTATGTATTGCTATTAAAAGTAATCGACTTTTATGTATTAATTATTGGTTGGATTATAGTAATATTATTATATAATACTCAGTTAATATTTATTTTACTCATATTTTACAAATGCTGGTTAATACAATATCAATTTAATTATATAGTTAAAAATTATGATAAATATAGTATAAAAGATATATATAAATTTGTAATAAAAATTCAGATATTTGTTAAACAATTGGATTCAATTATATCTCCATATATTATGCTAACACTTATAATAAATAACATAAAATGTGTGTCGGGATTGTGTACATTGTTTACCGGTAATACAAAAAGTTTATCGTATAGTATCCCTTCCTTAATTGAAAGCTTAGTAATAATATATTATTTAATATTTACATGTAGTTTAATACCAAACAGTTTCATAAATTTATTACATAAGATAAACATTACTTTTATTAGTAATCAAAATAAATATTTAAATATTAATCAAAATAACAACACATTAATAGTTTTGCTAAACTCTATGAAACACGACATGTGTTTTACGGCATATAATATGTTTCCGATAACAATGACTACATTTATATCATGTCTATCATTGATAGTATCGTATTCTGTAATTATTATTCAAACTAATATCTAATTTATTTTTTGTTGAAAAATTAATTAATGTAATAATATTTATTAAAAAATAAGTTTATTAAAACAATTATTGTCATTATAAAAAATAAATATCTATTTTTTATATAATGATATTTTTTTTTATTTTTAATAATTAATTAATTTATTTGAAATAAAGAAATTTAAAAGAATAGAATGAATAAATAATTAATTATATTTAAAAATTATATTTATATTAAAAGTTATTTAAAATGATGATGATAATAACAATAAAAATTTTTGGGGTTGCATAATTTTTGTGTCTTATGCCATGGGGGGGGGGGTAAAACACAAAAAATCTCTATCTTATGGGAGGCTAAGATATCTTTTCCTCCTACCCCCTTTTAGCAGCCCTGATATCAATAAATTAAATATATATCAATATATGGACTAAAAATTATATTAATAAAACATTTTTGTTTAAAAACATTAATAATAATTATTTACCAAAACCATTAATATTTTTTAAAAATACAATAATTACTATAATGTTTATTGATACTAAATAATTTAGCTTATAAAAAATATGAGGATTTTAATTTAAATAATTAATTTACATTTTAATTTTTAAAAAATAATTAAATAAGATGTTGGTTATATATTGATGAGATGATGATGAAATTTTTTTGATAAATTTTAAGTATTAATTAAATACCTATTGTCTAGTTTTGAACAAAATTAACCTATAATAGGCTAAACATATTGTCTAAATATATTTAAATGATAACAACAAGTTATAATTAATATTAAAAAACAATTCATTTATCAATTATGGTTATACCTAATGTTAGGTTTGTATAAAAGTAGTGCACAAACAGTATTTGATATATTGGTTTTGATCCAATACGGGAAACGCCATTAATGTCTTCCACTCAAACCTGTAGATACAATCGGAAAACAAGTTTTCCATAAACTTAGAATTACATATATATTTGTCGCATTTAAAGGTAATCTCAGCAATAATTGCATTATTCATGTTTATATAATCTATTGATAATGTATAACAAAAATAGAGACTAAAATTATTTAAGTTTTTCGTCAATAAACATTTTGGTCAATATCTCTATAAATATAATCATCTCATTAATATTTACTTCAGTTATCAATTATATACACTTTAAAACATATACTAAAATAATATAATTAAAATCCTTGACCGGAATCACACCTAAAAGACACTATAAACTTGAGRGCACTTATCATCCTATATAAGCTGGTGTCTCACTTAACTCATCATTCAGTGACTGAGACTCATACTCAACACATCAACCCAAGTGCCACACATCAGGAGCTCATTACAAACAATTTGGATGACAAAACATCCATCAATACTACTGTTCACAAAAACATTAACAATCAATAGTGTTGTCACCAGGGTTTTAAAAATGGCTAAACATTACAAACAATTTGGATGACAAATATATTTGCATCCATCAATACTACACTAAATTACATTATTTTTATAAATACAGTTCACAAAAACATTAACAATCAATAGTGTTGTCACTAAACTACAACTAACTCATCACTGTCTCAACTATTATTAAAATATACTTAAAACTTGTGTAACCCTTACTTTTAATTTGTTTTAACTAAATAAATAACTTTAAAATTTACAAAACAACTGCAAACCACTCATTTATTTTCTATACAGTATATATATATATATATTGTTTCATTAATGAATAATTTTAAAAAATTGAAATTTCAAATAATTTTGATGTCTAACAAACACCATATGATTATTGACAACAACAACAATAACACAAACGTTAAACAAAAAATTTTTTCAAATCATTATTTTATAAACAAAAATAATTCCCGTTAAGTAATGTAATAATATTATAATTATTATATATAAATATACACATATATATATAGATAAATAAACTAATGAATAAACATATAAATGGTAAACTAAAATAATAATAATAATTAAAATCTGAAAAAATAAAATGTTTTTATGTTTGATATGAATAATCTCTATGTGTAAGTAATAAAATATACAAAAGTTATTATTTTTGATATTATAAGACATAAAATAAACAAAAAAATATAAATATATATATATATAAGTAAATACTTTTTTTAAAAAAAGGAATGTATGAATATTTGTTATAAAAAAATACTAAATTAATACATAAATACTATTTTTTAAGATTAGAGATAATTGTAAATACAATTTGTAATTTTAAATTTGTTGACCACATAATTATAATAATTGTGTTGATTATAAAAAAAAATCTGAGTATTTTTTGTTGTTTTTTTGTAATACAGTTTTTTAAAAGATTCAATTGATACTTAAGTAAACAATAGTTATTATTGCGATAATAATAATAGTAATAATAAATAGCTGTTTGATTTTATAAAATTCATAATATAATAACATAAAACAATAAATACTAAAATTATTAATTATTATTAATTTTATCGCAATTTGCATCGAAATGTGTTGTTAGTCGTCTATGCAATGATTGCATTTGTAGTGGATTTGCCATCAGATTCTTTGAGTTGTCATCAGTAGTGCCAGTATTCAAATCAGGTGTTTGTAGAGAACTGGACGCTTGGTTATTGGGACCGATATTGGGTCCCGAATCCATCATATCTGCCATATATGTCGAAGTAAACGAATTAAAGTTAATGTCAGTCAATAGTTCCGATGTGTCAATGCCTTCGAGTCCTAAAGAGTCAAATTTGTCCATCACTTCATCAGAAACCGTATCGTTATTGTTAGACAATGTATTGATATTGATGTTTAGATTATTGGCATTATTCCTATTATTCATATTTGAGTCGATTGGCAAACTATTGCCATATTGTTGGACAATATTACCGATACTAATGTCGAAAAGTGGTGTCAATGTTGTAGATGAAAGTGGCTGTAGTGTGGACTGCGATTGTGGATCAGTTGCCATCAAATAATCAGTTGTGTTGTCCTGTGATGTCTGAGATTGAGGAGAAGCTTGCAATCTATAGTCTTGTTGTTGTTGTTGTGACAAAAGCATATCCATTGGAGATCTAGATTGTTGTGCAATACTATGTGGCGATAGTGTCATGAACTGTGATGAAGTGGTCGTTGTCGTCGTCGTCGCTGATTGTGGTGACGGTTGCCATGAAGTAAGTGGTGGTAGAGTTGATGTCTGAAACACGTTTTGACTATCAATAGCTGTCAGACCTAACGGTTCCATCTGTTTTATTCAAAATAATTTGTTTGCAAACAAATCAATTAATTTTTTCAATGAAAAACTATATTATAGTCACAATAACTCACTTTAATATTAGATGACACATATCGTGGCACAGAAAATGGCTCCCCTTTCGGCGAAACGGGACTAACATTGGATGGCCCGACACCTCCGGTAGTCACGTTTAGATAGGAGGACTCAGTCATAAACCTTTTGAGAAAACCTTCGTCTATCTTCTGACGTTTCCTATTGAGTCCATCGGGATCTACCTCTTTAGGTAACAATTGAAAGGCTCGCGGATCAGATAGGCAACCATCGGATGGTCTACGCAATTGAAGCATCACTGAAACGGGTTGGCTCAAGTCGTCCCGACAATAGCGTGGCGTACGAAAACAAATGGCCACTTGTTTGTGGACGTCGGTCGGTGCAAACTCGGCTAACGCTTCCCAAACGAGTTGACCGTTTTGTTCCTCATAGAAGCGCACCTGAATGTCATCTTTGGTCACTCTATCGCACAACAGTATCATCTCTTTGCCGCCAATACAGGGCGCCGAACAGTGAGACAACTTTGTTATGATCAGCTCTGTCATGGCCTCTGTGTCATCAAATGGTAAAAAAAATAAGATAATCAGATGAATGGTTCAAAAAACATTTTAAAAATAGATCAGACAAAAAAAACATACTTTTGTCGTAAATAAAATCGGAAACAATTGGCGGCAATTGAACGGTAAACTTGTCCCGTTCGGGACCTTCGATGAACACCTGAAAACATAGTCGCACGACATTCAGATCAATACTCGACGACTGAGACTTGTGTGCAAAACCAGCTGTTTATATGATATAACATAAGAAATTAAGATTCAAATCAACAAATAAAACAATAGACAAAAAATCAATGGATTCGATACTAACTTCTGAATGGATCAACTTTTATGGATTCCCGTAGTTTGAGACTGTCTTCGATGTCTTTGCGTTTGACACACTGTATGCCCAATGAAGTAAATGAACAGATCATGTCCTGATTGTTGATAACCATTGTACAGACACCCTTCTTGCAGCCCTCTTTGCCCACGAGATTGTGCGGATGCGGCCGATACGGCTGTTCTTTGGTTACGCACGACACCACTACTACGGCAGCGCCGCCCCGATAGTTGCACACCTGAATCGACGGATAGGTTTTGTTGTCGGCAGTGGCCGCCGAACCGGGTATACTGCCGGCGCTACGGCCCTCGCACTCGTAGCGAAACCGTAGGGCACATTTGGCCGGCTGTTCAACAATCCGGACATACGGTTGTTGTTGTTGTTGTTGACCACTGGCGGCCATCGGTGAAGTCATTTTTGTTGATGTGATGATTGTATTGAATGAACACTTTTGTCACACTATTTCACGCGCGGGTCAACAACTGACCACTGGTCAGTCATATATGAAAATAATCGGTAATTATAACAACAATTGTGTCCAACATTTCATGTTTTCTATTGAATAATAATAATCCAAAACAAAACAAAAACACAAAACAATTGTTTGCTTTCAATGTATTATTCAATTCAACTGATGTTGTGATGCAATGGATTGACTATTCAATTGAATATAGCATTGCGTAGTAATGTATGCTATAGTGTGTTATAGTAATGTGTTTTGAATGCATTACCCATTTAAATGTCACTAACAATACAATACATTACATATACTAAAGCATACGATAACTACACTACACATTGCGTAACATTTCATCAAACATAGCAATACCGAACATTTGGTACCATTTTATATAATTAACATTTTAATGTATACAATATTTTCATCAATATTTTCAAACAGAGAAACACATTTCAACACAAATTATGTTATATAATCAAAATATAAACTAATTATTTAAAAAATATATATTAAATAATTATTAACAATATTAACAACAAATTATTATAATAATAAACTAATAAATATGAAAATTTAATTTTAAAGTTTAACTAAAATAGTATTTTTGTTGTTATTTTATTGTAGGAATTGTTTTATGAATAATACTGTAATAAAATTATTGTTGAATTCATATAATAATAATAACATATTAATAGTTATATTGATTTTTGTGTATAAAATGTATTAATGAAATGATGATTATATTACTAATTCTTGGTAATTGTGTTTACAATAGCGTATATTCCCATATGTTATACGTCACACATATATTGATTAAAATCCTAATGAAAAGCGCCAATAATATGAAAACAATTTTTTTTAAATATTATATAATATTAAAATATCAAACAATTTCATAAATAGCTAGGTTTCCCATTAATATAATATATATGATATATATTATCATGTTTTTATTTTTTTTTAAATAATAAGCTTGCTAAATATAAATAATAATAATAATGATAATAAATAAAATTAATTTAATATAATTATCACTAGATATATGATTTATTTATTTTTTAAATTATAAATCTTAGATTTAAACATACTATTTAAGCAAAAATTGTTTTTTAAAAAGTTATTTTAATTTTAAATACATGTTTTTTTGGTTTAAATATAAAACTATAAGCAGTATTTAAAAATTTACTGCATTAAAAAAATTATTTTAACAAATTTGAAAAGTTTAATGCACTAAGTATATTAATAATTTATAAAAAATATTATATATATATATATAATAATTGTAGGTTAATTATTTTTTAAAAAATATAATTTACTAAAATAAATTTTCATTCATATTATTAATAAATTAAATATCTTTATTATAAAAACAATATTTTTTTTTTGTATAAAATATATACAATTTGTTTTGTGTTCAAAAAAAATGAGTCCTATTATCATAATTCGTTATCTTTTAATTGTAAACTTATTCTTATTAAATACAACTTATATATTATGTTTAACATTAAAATCTAGTGTTAATAATAATAATAATAATAAATTAGTTTATAATGATAATAATAATAATAAAGCACCTGTACCGAGTAATTTTCCTACCAATATATTTAATTTGATTAATCCGGGTACTGTACTTGGAAATTTAAGTATTGTACATATCAATGATCAAGTTATTAACCAAAACATGCTTAATATGGTCAACATATGGACACAAATGGTTGGCCAAGCGGTCAATATTCAAGACAACTTTGGCAGTCTGTTTCCGTCGGGTACCAACTCGGGCACCGGTAGCTCAAGTAGTAGTAGCAGCAGTAGTAGCAGCAGTGCTGGTCATTCAATGCAACGTTTTATGACTATCTTATCTAAGTTGTCTGATTCGTATCTTAAATATATTTATATGATGGATGATATATGGCATCAACAAAAATAATCAAATTGATTATATTATTAATATATAATTACAATATTATATAATGTATTAATAATTTTTATATATAATTTGTATAATTTTATTAATTAATAAAATTCTATAAATTTTTATTAACATTAAATCTGTATTTATATATATAATTTTATTTATTTTTTCTATACAATTCTATTAGAATTGGTTTATAAAAATTTGTTATAAATAAAATAAACATTATAACTTAATATTATTTACTTACTAAAGTTTATTTATTGATAATTTTAGTGAAAATTGTTTTTTTATTATCTTATATTTAATAAACAATAAAATCTATAGAATCTAAAAGTATAGTTATAGTAAATAAATTGAATTTTTTTAGTATATTCAAAAACTATGATAATTTATTTTAATTATTATAAAAAAATATGTTTCAAGAAAGGACACTGAACCAACAAAAAAAACATTAGCACATTAAATAAAATTATTTTTTATATAAAACCATACATTATGTACATGTTTATTTTAATGATAAATTAAAAAACATATATAATAAAAACAATTAGCACATAAAATAGTAAAAAAGTTTATATTTATAAATATATTCTGTCTTATTATTTTATATTTTTTCATTTTAATTTTTAAAATAATTTAGAGTCAATATTTTTTTTAAAAAAAATGTCATCAAAATTGTTGAAAACTTGTATTATTATAGTTATTGCAAATTTAGTTAATTGTCAAGACTTGGTTAAACCGGTCAAAGACTATGAGGAAGAAATTATATCATTTGAGAGAGAATTAAATGATTTGTATCTAAAGTCACACAAAAAGATGGACGAACTGACGCAAAATGGTGACCAACGGGCCAACCATTTACAGAGTGTTATGGCCGCCGCTGCCGTACCGTTCCAGGAGACGGCCAATGCTATACTGGCCAACGTCAATATGGCCACATCGTTAGGCCAGACAATGATGAGCGAAGTCAGCCAAGTGGTCAACAGTACTGGTATGGACGGTAAGCCGCCGAAGATTAATAAGAGTGGCGGTGGTGTGTTTGTCACCAACTTTTTGCATGTTTTGGCCAGAATTACCGATTCCTATCTACGGGTAACCAAAACGGCTAAAGCAGTGCTCGACAATTACGTTAAAGATGCCAAACAAAACTAAATATAATAAAATATTTAAATAATTTGTTTACATTTATTAAATTTCTAAATATATATTGTAATAAATTCATTTCAATATTTTTGTTTTTTTTAATTATTTATAACTTTTTAAATGTCGATTTTACTAATTTTTTTAATTTTTGTTATTAACAATTTTAACAAAATATTTTTTTAAATAACTTAATTATTTAACTAATTATATAAATATATATACACTATACAGTATATAATATATTAAACATATTTTTTCAGAGAAGAATTACTATTAATATAACTTTATTTTATTTTATTTTATTAAATTATAAATTAAAATGATAAATTATTTTACATATTTAATAGCCACATGGGGTATATGTATCTATGTAGCTTATATACAGTATATATATATATATATATATATATATATATATATATATATATATATATATATATATATATATATATATATATATATATTTGTGTGAATGTAACTGTATTTTGTTAATTAATGTTTTGAAAACTAATGATTTTATCATATTTTTGAAAATTACTAATAGCTTAATTTTTTAAAAATAATTGATATAAATATTTTAAATAACTATTTATTTTTTAGTAAAACTTTTAGTTCGTTATTTATTACTACATAATTTTTTATATTATTTAAAAAAAGCAATAAAACAAAACAAAAAGTTACATATTTATGTATGCAGTTTATATATATATAATATTATATTATATATACAGTATATACTCTTAAATTGTATGCAAAATATTTATGTATGTGAAAGGTTAGGGGAAAAAATATGCATCAATTGAGATGATATTATCGTATATATGATCTCTCAGACACCCCATTGGTTAGTATCTGGATATTTGAAAAAATACAGTGCAATGAATTTTGGGAACACTGGCAACTGTTGATATGTATATGTGTGTGGAATATGTAGACTCCCGGGAATGGGATGCCTGCCTGTGCCCAGTGCTTCTCTCACACCAAACAGAAAACAGCCATTTATTGTTATATATTGGGTGCGGTTCCTCTCATTTATATCTGGTGTTCACATACATAGCACTGCACATACTCTACACATACGTTAAGTTAAAGTATAAACTTTTGTTCAAAACTTTTTCAAAAAAAAATTCAATTCAATTGAAAACAACTTTTTATTGAAGTTTAAACAGTAATACTTGTTGTTACACAAAGTTTTAATTCACAACATTTTAACATCGGTTTGTTATAAATAAATATAGATTTTTATATATATTTTTATAGATAATTATAATTGTATTTCATTTATTTTGTCGTAAATCAACAAAATTACAACGTTTATTGTCAATAGGTATGTATTTATTTTGTCTAAATATTCAAAATATTAAATTTTTTTATATTTCTATAAATATGCTATAAATCTAAAACTTTTATACATAAAAATTAAACTTTTTTCTAAATCAATACAATTATAATAAATTTATATTGACTTATTTATATTATAATTCTATTCATGTTTAATTAAAAAAAAATTATTAATAATATATAAAATAAAATTTAATTTTAAATGAATAATGATTTAAAAGTTTCTAATCATAGAATTAATTAAAATTATATTATATAAATGTATTTGATTTAAACTATATTTCTAAAAAAATAATAATTCATTGAATTTATTAAATTATTTAATATATAACAATTTATAAAAGCATAAGATACAAATTGTTTTAGACAAAATAAAGTGATTTAAATTTTTTTAATAATACAAATATTTTGTATTTACTATATAGTATCGCAAATTGTAGCTTTAAATTATTGTTTTAATTTATATAAATGTTTATTAACTTGGACAGGTAGTTGTGTTAGTAAACACCTACATAACGTATACTGTATATAAGTGTAAAATGTTGTGTAGTGTGTTTTTTGTGATTAAATCTATTTAAAAAATGCTCTAGCACCTTTAATAGTGAAAATGTAATTGATTGCAGCAGATATATATATATAACATGTCAATAATATACATGTTATATCTATATATATACAGTAAATATGATGGTACCCCCGGTGCTGGTATAGTGTAATAATGTGTTTTTGTGTATTTTAAATAGTTTTAATGGTTTAGCCCAATAGTATATCTGGAAAGTCGTCTTTAACCGACCTTGACTTTAGCCGACTGTTTCAGTTGTATATAACTTTTTTTTTGACTATCACTTTGTAGACAACACTATACAGTATATTATTTGCAAAAACAGTGAAACATTTTTTTCTGGATACTGTTTATACTATGATGAATAATAATGTGAGTGAGTGAGTGAGTGAGTGAGTGAGTGAGTGAGTGAGTGAGTGAGAGAGTGAGTGAGTGAGTGAGTGAGTGAGTGAGTGAGTGAGTGAGTGAGTGAGTGAGTGAGTGAGTGAGTGAGTGAGTGAGTGAGTGAGTGAGTGAGTGAGTGAGTGAGTGAGTGAGTGAGTGAGTGAGTGAGTGAGAAAGAGAGAGACTGAGGGTAGGGGTGAATGGGATGGGCTGAGGCTTTGTATAAATTTATATTCTGTATATATATATAATTTATATCTCTGCTTATTATACCAACATATATATCTACAAACCTATAATTAAATGTATGACTCACTATAAATATTAAAGAGCCTAGGATAATATACACTGAACTATATATACTGTATATAAATATTATTATATTATCAGATATTATGATAATGATGTTTAAATAGCTTTAAAATCGTGGGATACTTATCTTTTTTAAAGTGCCAATACATTTAAAAAATAACTCTTTTATTAGAAAAAAGTATTTATAAAATATTAAATTTTTTAAAGCATATATTTATATTATGATAAATTATATAACATGTCTAATAAAATGTGTAATATATAAATTATTTATTCTAACATTTTTTTAAAAGTAAATTAATGTTTTTATGTAATTATTATTATTTAATCAATATATAGTTTTTTGATATCATTACCGGTAATTAGAAAATTCACAAAATTGGATTATTACCAAAATAAAATTATTAATATAATTATAGTACTATTAAATTTATTAAAATTTTTCTAATAGATTTTTTAAAGCTTAAGTTTTATATACAGCATTAAATAATAAAGTATGCCATTTAAATATGTTTTGAGCTAACAATAATTGTAGATAAATAAAATAGATGACATAATAAAAAAAAAGTTTACAACAATTGCAAAAATATATTAGTTGGGTATAGAATTCATATATAATAAATACATTTCTATTTGTAAACGACAGGTGCTTCACAAGGAAAGCATATATTTTGTTTGAAAAACATTCATTAAAATTGTTGGTTGAAGTTTAATCAGTGAATCGGATCCTTTATATTATATCATTATAAAGCATCAAAACGATAAATAATCACCAAAAAAATCAATTAACAATGGCATCGGAAACCAAAAGTAGTAGTAAAAGTGGATCTAAATGCAATCTGAATGAGTCATCTGTTCCTCTATTAGAAGATACAGAGACAACAACAACACCGGAGAAGATTGAATTGGAGACCAAAAACGTCGACAATAACGACGAGAAGAAAGAGGTCAACGAAACTAAAGACAAAAAAGGTTTGATTTAATGATTTTTATAAAAAAAAATTTAATTTAATTATATGAATATTATATATATTTTCTATAGAAAAGAAAAAGAAGGAGAAGAAGGAGAAAGTGGTTAAAGAGACAACTAAGCGATCGATTGACTTATGCACACAAAACTTCACAATTGGACTCAATGTCTTGGATAGAGACGAAAAACACGTCAATCAACATATTAATGTATTAAAATTATATACAGTACTCAACCATTACATAACATTACCCAACTGTCCAATTAATATGAATCTTAAAATTATTTTTAATTATTTATTTAAAAAAACAAACAAACAATATATAGATCACTTTTGAGGATGTATTGGGCGAACCGGATCCAACTCACGGTAATACTATAACACAAAAAAAACAAAAATAACTAAAGTTATTATTATTAGAAATATATGTAAAATAAATATAAAAAAATTAAATTGTTAGATAAAAAACGATACATTTTCTTGAATTTGAAATTTATGTATATAATTTATATGTATAGTATTTATCATCTTTTAAACTAAATAACATAATTTAATAGTACGGTACTGTTTTTCGGATAGGGACCCAATTAAAAAAAATTAAATACAATTTATAGTAAATATATTGTAGGCTAATCTAATCCATTAAAAAAAATTAACCATAAAATTTAACAGGTTTTGAGTTTGTTTGGCGTCTATCGTATCTATTGTTCAATGCAACCCGATTCTGGTTCTACCGTCTCATTGCTGCCTTCATAGCCATACCATTGGCATTGTTGTGGGCACTGGTATTTGCTTTCATCAATTTGTTCACCATTTGGTTTCTGACTCCAGCCCTACGAGTGCTCGACATTATCCTTCATTATGTTCACAGAGTAAGTATTAAAAAAAATTAATTTTATATAAATTTAAAAAATAATTTTTATATAATTTTATGTATACAGTATTGTACTGTAGAGTCAGTTACATCCAGTTAAAAAAAATGTTTTTAAAACTTAAAAATTAATTAAGAAAAAACTTACAATGCATTTAAATTTAGGGCAAATTAAATTAATAATTTTTAATTAATTTTTTTTTTGATTAAACATTATTTGAAAACTTTTTTTTCTTATTTTCTAATTTGTTTTCTTTATTATTAATCAGATTTGGAGTGGACTTATCCGTACACTATTGGATCCGCTATTCAGTTCGGGTGCTCTACTATTCAACAATATTCGCACCCGTCGTGAAACTGTAGCCGTGGACACAGTGACCACCGCTTGATTGGCCGAACCTCGCGTTCTCTCCACGACATCTCTCAGTAATCTCAACCAAACACATGACATCTCTCTTTCTTATATATAAATAAATATTTTAAAAAATCATTTTTTTGTGGTATTATCTCAAAACTTAAGTGTATTTTTTAAAAATAATTATAATTAATTAATTAGTTTAATTACGATAATATATTTATCGAAACTATATTTATTTTCAGCTAAATTTATTTTTTTAAATTTAAATATGCATTTAAATTGCAGTATTTATTTTATTTTATATTAAAAAATCATAACCCAATATAATGTTGTAATGCATGTAATCTCATACACATATATTTGTACTTTTTTTAAGTTATACAAAAATCATTTAATTATCAATAAAATTAATTTTTTATTTAATAAAATTAATAAATTATTATTTTAAAAAATATATAATATTTATTACTGTATTTATATTAAATTAGACGTAATTAATACAAGAATCATATGTTCGGTTCGGGTTATACTGTATTGAGAGCGCTGTCAGTCAACAAACATATTAAATACATATTAGACTAGAAAAACTAAAACCAAAATAAAAAATCTTTATATTAAAAAAAAATCCAACCCATAAAGTATAGATTTTTTGTTGTTGATTTAAACTGATCTTGTTACAAAAAAAACATTAATCAAAATAAATTATTGACAAATACTTGTAAAAATATATTAAGTATAATAAGTATAACATAAAAATATATAAAACATTTATTTTATTTCGGTATTAATTTTAATCTAATTTAATCTAAAAATAATTATAAAGATATCTGAATTAGATATTTTATTTTTTTATTTTAATGTTTTGAAATTTGCTTATTTTAAATATTTATTTATGTTATATTTTGTAATTTTAATAATACCCTTTTGCAAATAAAAAAAATAGTGCAATGTTTAATATCGGTTTCGGATATTTATTACTTACCCATAGTCTACAGCACTGTCTAGTCTTTATTGATATAACTACAGTAAAATCACAATAATAGTGTTATTAGTGCATTAAATTTAGTGTACTTTTAAATATTAATAGTAAAACTACAGTAGAATATATGTATAATTACATAATACAATATATTTAATAGTAAAAACCATAGCAATGATTATTATTACGGTATTACACATACCATACAAATACTATGCATTGAGTGAGTAATTGTTGTGATATTAATAATAATAATAATAATAATACTGTAGTTATGTTTATATCATATAATAATAATTATTATGTAAAACAATTGATAACTTTTTTTTTAAGTGATGTTAAGTCTATCTGATTGACGACAAAACTGTTGAATTATGATTAACACAAACAGACATCACTGTCACTGATCCAACCCTCTCAAGACATATATATTAATCATACAACCATTTGGTTGTTTTGTTTTTGTTGATCATCAGTGGTGTCCCCAAAAAAAGACTCAATGGCTCAACCATTAGACATATCTCGTCGTAATCCACAAGAAGAGTACGATCTGATCCAAAGGGTTGGTTCGGGCACTTACGGTGATGTCTATAAGGTATGTCCACTTATAATGATGTCCTATGATTAATGATTGATGACTTATTATTTAGGCCCGACGTGTTTGTACGGGTGAATTGGCGGCCATCAAGATTATCAAACTGGAACCGGGAGACGACTTTCATGTCATCCAACAGGAGATACTAATGATGAAAGACTGTCGCCATTCAAATGTTGTGGCCTTCTTCGGCTCATATCTTCGCAGAGATAAACTATGGATTTGTATGGAGTTTTGTGGCGGCGGTTCCCTACAGGACATCTATCACTGTACCGGACCATTGGGTATATTATATATTACGGTTATATCATATAATAAGAGAGAGGGAGAGCACAGGTAGCTTTTTTTTGGGTACTTGTCTACCAATTAATAATAATATATTTAGGTCTAGCAATACAAACATTTGGTTTATTTTATTACTGAAAAAATTACGATAAAATATATATTAAGTTCAAGATTTTTAATGATAGACTATTACTATAAATAAATTTTTAAAAATAATTAATATTATAAATTTATTATACCAGGTATTACCGGTAGTTTGTAATATTAAATGATATGTTATATTTTAAATTACCGGTAATTACAGTAAGTTAAGTTGCTGAAATTAAAATTATATAAATCGGTATATTTTTTGTATAGAGTTACCGGAGTTATCTTTTAATAATTTTATATACAATTGTACCGTAATTACCGATAATTTAGTCATATATTATTTGATAACAATTGTTTTAAAAAAAAAGGTTGACAAAAGCTACCGCCGGTTTTGATTATAAATAAACAATATATACTGTATATACAGTATATTATGTCGATTTTGGATCAATTAATGTCTCAAATGATAAAATCATTTCTGTTTAAACATTTTAGGTGAACCACAGATTGCATATGTTTGCAGAGAGACACTGAAGGGTATCCTATATCTGCACTCAATGGGCAAAATGCATCGCGACATCAAAGGCGCCAATATTTTACTAACCGAAGACGGCGACGTCAAACTGGCCGACTTTGGTGTGTCGGCACAGATCACACAAACCATTAACAAACGAAAGTCTTTCATTGGCACACCCTATTGGATGGCGCCGGAAGTGGCGGCCGTCGAACGAAAAGGCGGTTACAATCATCAGTGCGACATTTGGGCTGTCGGTATTACGTCCATTGAGTTGGCCGAACTGCAGCCGCCAATGTTTGATTTGCATCCGATGCGAGCACTGTTCCTTATGTCTAAGTCAGGCTTTAAGCCGCCACAACTCAAAGATCGGAATCACTGGTCGACAAACTTTCATCATTTTGTAAAAATGGCGCTCACGAAGAATCCCAAGAAGCGGCCGTCGGCCGAGCGACTATTGCTTCATCCATTTGTCCACCAACCGGAATTAAGTCGACGACTAATGCGCGAACTACTCGATAAGGTGGCCAATCCACACAACTTTAACAATGGCCATCACCACGAGTTGGACGCCGACGACGAGCTCGTGTGCGACGTACCACAGAGGATATCTTCGAAACGGTCGGTGCGGTCGCGGGTGAAGACACGATCCGAACTGCATATGGAAAGCATTAATTTTGAAGTAAATACATATATATATATAGCTTTATATAACTACTTTATTACCAGTAATTACCGATATTTTTTGTCCATTATTTTTTTAGGCTCCATTGCTGACATCCATTTCCAATGTTACCGAAAAAGAGAAGCCCACCGATGTGTCAGTTGCCTGGGGTTTAGTCAACGATAGCAACAATAGTGGCTACGATTTGGCCACTGCTTGGATGGAATCGGACGCAGAGTCGGAACAAATTAAAAAGTTAGTGTCAATTGATTTATCAATTTTTTGATTATCTAAAAAAATTATATGCTTTTTTCTCGACTAATAAGGATATATATATGAAAAAGGATATATTAGAATATTTTTTTTAATATAATTTTTATATAAATTTAATTATATTAACATATTGTAATTTTTCTCAAAATTAAAAAAAAATGACTGAAAAATATCAAAACATACACACATTTAGTCAACAAATGCGACGAAGGTTTGTATAAATATATTATTTGTATTTATATAATGAATGAAAAATTATGTGTCATTTGTGATACCGTAATAATGTTTGTTAAATAATTTAAATGAATTTATTATAATAATATTTAATAATTTATTAATTGTTTGTTTGTTTTTATTATCGGTAGTTGCATGTAATTAATATACTACTAATTTATTATTATAATTATCTGTAATATTATTTTTATGTTAAAAAATTATTTATCTTTGAATTAATAGATCACTTCTTGAGATTGTCGATGAAGAACTACTTCAACGGTTAGTATATACCGTAGATCTAACTAAAACTATAACTACAATATCAATACCGGTATATAGTTATTGATTTTTCTGTATATTATGTTTTTTAGCGGACATGAAGACAGTCTTCAAGCATTGGACAAAGCTTTGCGACAATATTCTTCACAGTAAGCAATAAATCATTTAATAATTTATAGTTTAAAACATAATTTAAGGTAATTTATAAATTTTAATATATTTTTTTTTAATTCAGACAAACCCTTCCCATTGAACCATTTGGATCTCCTGCAAAAGTAATTGACATTTAAACCTAATTTTTTGTTGTAATAATTATTATTATTTCTGTGATCGTTGTTATGATTTTACAAAAAAAAATATCCATAATTTTTCACAAACCTCTGTGTGTGTGTCTGTCTGTATGCAAAGCTGCCGATCGGTTGGGACAGAGTTAATAAATCTGTTCCCATTGGGCGGAGAGGAACACGAATACCAGACTCGACAGGTGCTGCCGTTGCCGCCGCCGCCGCTATCGAGCACATGGTGTTTGGTGTGGCGGCTTCTGGCGGTGGCATCGCACGGCTAGGTCGGGATCGGGTGTTGACTGCTAGGCTACCGGTTGTACAACAGTTTGTCGACAGTAATGTCGAACAACCACTGGTTCCGCCGCCAGTCTATTCCAGCAATAAATTACTGGATGACAGCACCCGAACACAGATTCGCTTGAATATTACCACAAATACTACTACGAGCTCTCCATATAATAGCAATAATAATAATATAATTAATAATAATAATAATAATAGTATATTTAGGAGTCATAATTTTAAATTTAATTATCAAAACAACTTGAATACAAATTATACGCCAAACGATGATTTTATAGATTGGAGTACCAATACTGTCGTAAGATTTTATCTTAAAAAATTAGATTAAAAAAATAAATTATTTTGTTTATTTTCAAAATTTTATTTCAAATTCAAAATTTGTATTGATGTTTGCATAAATTATTTATCAAATTATATAATTTATAAATAATGTATTATTATTATTATTGTATTATTATCGTTATTGCTATTTTCGTTTATTTGATTTTTTCAATTATACTCAAATAATTTTAATTTAGTTAAACTTTCCTAAACATTATATATAYATATATAAGATGTTTTTTTTGCTAATTTTTGTTTTTGTATTTAAATATTTATTGTTAATTGATTATTTAATTATGATTTAAATTATTTATTTAAACAATTATCTATTTTTTGTTGCATATTTAGGATCAGTTGTTAGGCGAAGTATGCAATGATAGCAAATCGATACCATTAGAGTTGGTTCACATMGACGACGATGAATACTCAACACCTCCGTCAACGCCTCAGTTGAACGGCTCGAGCGGTGGCGGCCAACCACTGATCAGTTTGTCAAACAGTGATAATAATAGTAACGACAGTGAATCAGCGGTACCTCCTGAGGCACCACCGCGACGTCGCGACCGTCATAAACAACGGGTCAATGCCCAGAACTCACCGCCCGCCACCGTCAATGGACTGCCGCCCACACCAAAGGTTCATATGGGCGCCTGTTTCTCAAAAGTATTCAACGAATGTCCGTTAAAAATCAATTGTTCGGCCAGTTGGGTGCATCCCGACACCCATGACCAACACATTCTATTAGGTAATGTTTTTAACTGATTCAACCGTAACCTTCAATTGATAGTTATTGTCAATGAATATTGTCATCATCTGATATAAACTAATATTAACTGAACCCCATTACTGTAGGCTGTGATGAAGGTATATATTATTTAAATCTCAACGAACTGCACGACGCAAGCATCGATCAGTTATACCCGAGGAAAACCGTTTGGTTGTTTGTCATCAAAAACGTATTGATGTCATTATCGGGTAAAACTGCATACTTGTATCGGCACGACCTCATGACATTGCACTCAAAGAAAAACGTATCGTTCGGTCTTCCAGTTGACTCAATGATCAATAAAATACCGGAGCGTCTGATGCCACGCAAATTTATATCGTCGACAAAAGTGTCGGACACTAAAAACTGTACTAAATGTTGTGTCGGACGAAACCCGTATAACGGTTACAAATATTTATGCGGTGCCACTGCTAACGGCATATTTCTAATGCAATGGTATAATCCATTGAATAAGTTTATGTTATTGAAGGTAAGTGTTTAATACAGAATTTATAAATTGTTATTTATTTAACACCATTATTATTCAAATATATATATAYATAWWTTATAGCAATTTGAACTCTACATACCCACTGAATTGGATGTATTTGAGATGATCATCACTCAAGATATGGAGTATCCAATGATATGTATGGGTGTGAAAAAGTGCTACGAAGACGATCGGGCACTACAATTGAATTTGATTCACTTAAACTCAACCACCAATTGGTTTAACGATTGTTCCGATAACGACCAGTTTGGCGACGGAACCGAAACTATTGTCGCCCGACACGACTCACTCAATATTATTAGTGTCAATCAGTTAGAAAAGGATACCATTCTTGTCTGTTACGACAGTATGTGTTTTTTATTGATATGTTTTTATCATTTTATTTTATTTATTATTATTATCATTATAGTTATAAATTATTTTTTATACCATATTTAATGATTTACTTTTAAATAGATTGCGTAAAGTTAGTCAATCTTCAGGGAAAACTCAAATCAAGTCGTCGACAACCAGCGGAACTTCACTTTGACTTTCAAATTAAATCAATTGGTAATGAAGTGGTGTTACTATTAGTTATTACTTAACATTAGTTCAATATATATATATATAATATCTATGAATAATTTATAATGTTTTCCAAATCAGTATTATCGCTAACAATGTTATAATAATTTAATAATTAATTTATTGATTTTGTCATTTGATTAGTATGTCTGACTGACTGTGTGTTGGCATTTCACGAGCACGGAATGCAGGGCCGATCGTTTAAGAACAACGAAGTGGTCCAAGAGATCAATGATCAGAGTCGCCACTTTCGGCTACTCGGCTCTGACCGTATTGTCGTACTTGAGTCGCGGCCCACACACGATACTAGTGTGGCATCCAATCTATACATTCTGGCCGGTCATGAAAATAGCTATTAATAAATGAATTTTTTTGATTTAATTACAATTAATTACAAACAAACATTTTTTTAGTGATGATAATAATAATACTAATAATATCGATAATATTATATGATTTGATAAATCATGTGAATGATAACCGGTAGTCATTTTATTTTTATTTTACTTTTTTAAATAATTATTATTGTATTTGATTAGATTTTTTTCCCAACATGTTATCATTATTTTTATTTGTTATTATTATTATTATTATTAAATATTAACTTGTACATATTTATATAATTTTACACATATTTTAATTATTTATTCATTTTATTTATAAGTTTTTTTTCATTTATATAAATATAAATATATATATATATATTTAAAAACTATATTGTTAATTCTTTAAATATGATGATACATATATTGATAATAATTGTAATATTTATTGAGTTTGAAAAATTACTTACTGCTAACAAATATACAACAAAACAAAACAAAACAAAAAAGATAATAATAGTTATATTTTTATGAAAATTATATTAAAATTAAAAATAAAAATACATAGAATTAATATGTTGTTGATGATCTTGTTCAATTTATTTCAATATATTATATATATAAAATAAAAATATATTAAAGAAAATTACAAGTAAGTAATATTTAAATTTGTTGTTAACATTTTTGTATAACTTTTATTTTGTGTGAATTTACAAAATTTTATTAACCATTACCGGTAATAATATTGTATTTAAATTAAAATCAAAATTTATTACTTGTTACTTATTAAAAAAAAATTATATAAATCATTAAATTTTATTAATAGATTTTGATAAAACTTATAATTCAACAAAATATAACAAACAAAACAAAAACAAATTAAAAATTATATGCTGAGTAATACAGGTTAGTATTATTGTTGTCAGTTATATAACTTAGAGATTATTATTATATATATTAAATATTATGTTTTTAACTGCCGTCCCTTTGACATACTGTACAGTACAGTATATATTAATACTTATCCTATATATATATATTGAATAAATTACAATAACTATTTTTAAAATAAAGTAAAATGCGCTATATTGTTTTTATTATTATTATTTTTTTGCAAAATAATTATATATATATATATATTATCCTAATACATGTATTACTAATAGTAAAAATAAGATATGAATTTATTGTGATATAATTTTTCACAATTGTATTAAATTATATATTTGATGAGTATTTGTTTTGAGTCACTAAACTTTTTTCATTTTTTTAAAACAAAATTTATTAGTTTGAACTACAATATTAAGTTTCTACTAATTATAACCTATGTATTTAAATAAAAAAAAACAGTTCATAAAATATATTTATATCAGAACTATATGTGATATAATTGAATAATTTTTATTTAAATGAATTAACGTTTAAATGTTTTATATCAACATTAAAAAAATCTAATAATAAATAAAATTATTTGCTAATGTTTTTTTAGTGTCAAATATGTAAATAAAATAAAAATCAATCAATGAATCTACCTCATTTTTTCTTAAAATAATAATTTTTTWAAAATATTAATCATTAAATTTATTAAATATCAAAATAAACTGTATATGACACAGTACATAGCTATTATACAGTATATTAACAAAAATATATTAATATATTTTTAATTATTATAAATTATTATAAATTATTAATATTGAATATAAATAATAGTTATATCACTGTATAGTACAGTACTGTACTGTAAATTATAATAGTTTGTAATAATGATTTAAATACTGTAGTCAATACATTAATAAATAGAGTAAATGTTTGTTATTTTTTTTAATACTTATAAGTTGTGTCAAACTGTGAAATGTTTTGTGAAATGTATGAATTGAAAAGTTTGTGACAAATATTTATAAATTATTATTTATAAGCAATATATTAGTTGTACAAAATGATAATAATAATAATAATAATATAAAATACAACTATATATATATATATATATAAGTAAATTTATCATTATCAATATTAATGTTTGCTAAAAACAAATTATTAAATATTGTCTTGGTGATTATCTTAACAATTGTTAAAAAGTGAATCAACATTTGATATGAAAATCATAACTTTAATGTCTATAGTGTTTAGGACACAATTTTGTTTGATATATTGTAATTCAAAATATATATATATCATATATTTAATACTATTTTTAATTAATACAAAATTTATTTATATATAATTTATTTTTAACTTTTGACATACAATATGTATATATATGTGTATAAATATTTATCAAAACATTACTTAAATCAATCAGTTTATGTATAAAAAATTCAAAACTTGTGTATCAATTATTATTATTAACTTATAATAATAATAATTATTATTTCCATCTAATAAATCGTTTTAATAATTGATGTGATATTTTAAAAAAAAATAAATATTTATTATTGTCAACAATAGACAGACACAAATGCGATACAGAAATTCATTGCTAACTTTGATATTATTTGTAACTTTTGGTTTATTTCTCTATTTAGTTACAAATAATTCAAATCAATTTTCAAAATATTATTTAATAGATAATTATTTCATTGAACAAAATAACATTATTTCATCAAAAAGTAAGTTTAGTTTTTTTTTAATTTATAAATACTGTATATAAAAAAATTTGTAAAAAAATTGTATTTGTAACTTTTATAATTCTAATGTATATAATAATTAAGTTTTCAACTTAAAAAAAAATTTTCAAAATAGTTAAAATAAATATTTTAATCAATACTTAGTTTTGTAAAAATAATTATATTTAACGTTTTGTTGATATCAGAGCAAATAATTATAAAATATTTTAATTTTAACTTACAATTGATATTGAATCAATGAAAAATGAAAAAAATGTAATCAATTCAATATATATATCATATATTATATTGCAATTTAAGAAAAATATAATTATTAATAATAAAAAAAAAATTATCATTTTATTTTTTTAATATTTATTTTAATAAATTATAAATAAATTACGAATGATCAATTATTAGATTTTTTTATTACATAAATTATATATTTATATATTTATTATTAATATTGATAACATTGTATTGTTTGAAAGTTTTAATCTTCAATTTAAATATAATTTAGTTTAATATATTATAAAATTTATAATAATTTTTGTTAACTTAAAAGTTTTGTTCATTTTTTTATATTAATCTAATTTAAATTTATTAAAATTATAATATTTTTTATAACGAAATCCTTCATCATTGATAAGACAGGCCTTATATAGTTTAAGAGTCGAGTCTATGGCCACTCCAGCGGCGGCCACAAAGTTGTCGATGCCTTTAAAATTGACATAAAAAATGTTAGACAAAAAACAAATATTGATATTTGATATTAAGTATATATGATTATAGGTTTTAAAACTACAATATATATATATATATATATATATATATATATATATATATATATATATATATATATATATATATATAAATGTATTTTTAGTAAAATCAAATATTAGACTAATTATGATGTCATAAAACATTAAATATGTAATATTTGATACTAATTGGTTTTCACTGTAAATATGTTAAATATAAAGTATAAAATTACTAATATTTACTTTATATTCTACTATATATATATTGTAAAGTTTGAAATATATATATATATATTCATTTAGTATAGAATTTATTGATAATAAAATATCAAATATGTCTAAAATCATAACAGCTTGAAATATAATTAGAAATTAAAAAAAGATTATTATATGAAATACTTTTAAATATTTATAAATAAATTTTCTAATTCAATAATAGTATAATTTATTATTAGTACTTAATATTTATCTTTACAAACTACTATACCGTAAGTTACTATTATGTAAATATATTTGATAATTATGAAAAATAAAAATATACAGATATATAATATTAGTATTAGCTATTAATTGATTACAATTATATGATTTACCTCCTGTTTTGTGTACGCCATCCCTCAAGTATTGACAAACAGCTTTCGATGGCATTAACTTATTATCAACTGTTGTGGACTTAATTGTCGTAATCAATACAATCAAAATATTTAGAAATATATAAACAATCATAATATTCAAATTTAAATTCAATTTTTTTCTCAAAAAAATAGTTTACTAATTAAATTATTACATAAAAATTTTATTTTTCTGAATATGTTGTTTACAGTATTTTAATTAAACTTTGAATATATATATATATATATATATAATATGTTTGTCGAAAAAAATAATAGTATTGTATTTTTTACTGATTTTTCTCTATATTTATATATACTATGTATATACAGTATATGACATAAAATATATTTTTGCAAAATGATATAAACTTTATGTCTATACAGATATGATATATGGATTGATTGGCTTACAAGTCTGATTTATTTATTTATTTTTATTAAAATATTATATATCACATCCAAAATATAACAGTAGGCGGGTGTTTATAGTAATGGACAGTCAGTTTTATATCAATAGATATAGTAGATTAGTCGATAGTTAAAATATTTATATATATATATATATATATATATATATATTAAAACCCATGTTATCTTTACTATAATAATAAAGAAACAAAACTATAATACTATACTGTATTTTAATATAAGTTATATACAGTACAGTAATATACTTTATTTGAGATACATATATGATTTCACTTATTTATATATTATAATATATTAATAATTTCATGTAATTCTAATAAAACTATAACTACTATAACTTGAAGTTGATTACAGAATAGTTTTTTGATGTATCCATTAATATATAAATAATAAATAGTTAAAAATAATATTAACTATAATAAGTATATATATATAGTCAACAAATATGATTTTTTAATGCCAAAGACCGGTATTATATAATATATACTAAAACTTTTTTCAAATATATTTTTAAAAATGTTTTGTATTGTGTTTTTTCATTATTTGAATCATAAATTTCTTTGATATATTGAATATACAGTTATAAAGTTATTTATAATCAATGTTTTTGCTTTAACTATGCTTTAATTTTTAGTCATCTAATATTGAATTTAAAACTTAAAAATACTTTATAATAATGGATTATATTTTAATAAATAATTTAGTAAAATATATTTTTTTGTTATCATATGATAAAAATACTTTTTTTTAGCAGTATCAAATCTTATTTTATTTGTAAATAAAAATTGTTTAATAGAAGTAAAATCTTATAGTTAGTATAAAAATTATTAAATAACTTTTTTTTATTAGTAATTACAAAACAAGACATATTATGTACTGTATGTTAATAATTAAATATTTACACTAATTTTCTTATAAGTTTTAATATTTAATACAATTAAATGTTTTATTAAATATGTACAGTAATATTAATAAATTTAATAAATATTAAACAATACATTTAGCAGTAAAAAAGATTTAAACAATTTTCTATTTAAAAAAAATGAAATAAAATTATTAAATTAATAAAATATAGTAATTATTTAGATAAATACTATTATATACAATATATACGGTATATACAATATATAACTATTTGCTTGACATTAAACTTATTAATTATTGTATATTAATTATTAATATATATATATTTTTTGACTACAGATAATGTTAGTCAGTTAGCGAAGAGAAAGACAGCATATTTGGTGAATACAAGTAAATGCCGTATCGTTCGGTGGCCGGCATTTGATGACCAAATTGTCGGCATTTATCGAAACAAAACACAAGACCGGATCCAATGTATTCACGCCAAACAACATAACATTGAGATTAAGAGATTTAATTTTACTGGTATTCAAGTGATCAATAGGTCTGATAAACCAATTGATTGTTTTACGAGTCATGTCCTCAGAAAGAAAGGTACCGACGATAAAGTTGATTACACGCCATCGATAAAGTTTAACTTAAAAACTGGTGTCCAGTACTTTGACAATAGTGTCGATTGTGTGAAAATTACATGTTTTATCGATAATGGTTTGTATATATAAATATATATACAGTAGTTATATTATTAATTAATTAAATAGCAATAATATTTCTACAATTTTATTATTATATCATTCATAGGTAGCAATAGCTACGAAAAGATAATACCGTTGATACCGGACGTTAAGCCGATGATGGCCACCAAAGATGACAATTTGCCGAACATATTGTTTCTGGGATTGGACTCTATATCGCGACTTAACTTTGACCGACATTTTCCGATGACAGCAAAATTATTGGCCAAACACGGCTTCTATACGTTGTACGGCTATAATAAAGTGGCCGACAATACGTTTGTCAATTTGACACCACTATTGACCGGTCATTATTTGGAGGATATCTGGAATGAGACGATCAGTAAAACAGTTTTTCTCAACTATTTTCCCTTAATTTGGAAAGTAATTATATATTTTTTAAAAAACAATTTTTAATTCAATTCAATAAAAATTATTAGAGATTTTTTTTAAGAAAAAACTTATTTGTTTGTATATTAGGAATACAGTAATCGCGGTTATAATACACTACTTCTAGAGGACGCACCATATATGGCAACATTTAATTACTTAAAAATCGGTTTCAATGAAAAGCCGACCGATTATTATTTGCGGCCATTTAGTCTGGCCATTGAACCCGATGTCCACAATGACTGTTATTTGGATAAACCGGAGATTGAGGTATAATAAACTGAATATATTTATAATTACCAGTAATATATGTTATAATTTTTTTTTTTTAATATATTATAAATAATATGATTGAAATTAATTAATTATTATTGTTTATAATTAAAATATTATTGAAAAATAAAATTAAAATAATAATAATAATAATAATTTATTTTAAACATAATTTCAGATATATTATGATTATGTGTACGACTTTGTCAAAGCTATAAATGAAAGACATCAACGGTATTTTGGGTTTACATTTCTGGCCCGACTAACGCACGACCACATCAATAGCGCCGGTTTGGCCGATTCGCACGTCCATCGATTGTTGGACAAACTATTCACCGATAGTTTACTGGCCAACACTGTAGTCGTATTTTTTAGCGATCACGGCATACGGTTCGGCAAAATTCGTGAGACACTGTCCGGTAAACTAGAGGAACGAATGCCGTTTATGCATATCTATCTGCCGGACGAGTTGCGCAACAAATACGACAAATCAATGGCCATCAATGAAAACCGATTGACCACACCGTTCGACATTCACTCAACACTCAAACACCTGATTACTGGAAAACAATTACTGAACAGCGGTTCAAATGGTGTCAAATATGGCAAAACATTGCTTCAGGAGATACCCGAAGACCGTAGCTGTCAGAGTATACCGATTCTCGAACACTGGTGTTCGTGTCAATCAAGCGAACCGGTAGCCGATCTCAACAGTGTTTCATTTGTTTCACGATTTATTGTCGATAGTATTAATCGTTTGTTTGCAACTGATTTTGTCGACAAATGCCAACCACTGACACTCCGTCGTACAGTCAGTGCTTACGAACAACATCTCAACGACAAAGTATTGCAATTTGAACAGAGTTTGAACGATGTTATGGACAGACACGTTGTCTACAGCCGGAAGCGAACCAAAGAACACATCAGACATTATTTGATAACCATTTCGGTTGAGCCGAGCGGTGGACTATTCGAAGCTACCGTTAATGTCGATACCCGTTCCCGACACATGCAAATCATTGGCGATATCTCGAGGATTAACCGATACTATAATCAATCCGATTGTATTGATAATCAATTTGTTCGACGATATTGTTATTGTTTTCAATGATAATTCGTTAAATATGAATATATTTATATAAAACATTTTAAACTTTTTATTTTTATATTGTATAAAAAAACTATATTTATATAGAAAATTATATTTTAAAAATAAATAGAGGTTATACCCAGTTTATTTTTTGATTAAATAATATTGTTTTTTACTATAAATAAGTTATCTTTTTGCTAAAAAATCATTTTATTAGTTGATGCATAGAGTAGAGATAGGTTTATGACTCTGAGTCCTCATATCTAAACGTGACTACCGGTGCCGGTGTTGGGCCATCCAATACATCCAACTGTTAGTCCCGTTTCACCAAAAAAAAGGTGAACCCATTTTCTGTGCCACGATATGTACAGTATTGTCTAATATTAAAGTCAGATTAAAGTGTTTATAAAATAAAGTTAGTTTTTTATTGAAAATTTTGATTTATTGTTTGACAAAACAAATTATTTGAATAAAACAGATGTTTGGAACCGTTAGGTGAGTCACAGATATTTATAGTCTTAAAAAAACGTTTCAGACATCAACTCTACCACCACTTAGTTCATGGCAACCATAAACCACAATCAACGACCACCACTTCACGCCACAGTTGATGACACTATCACCACATAGTATTGCACAACAATCTTAGATCACCAATGGATGTGCTTTTTGTCATAACAGTATTACTACAATATTTAATTTCACAATAATTTATATACCGGTACTAAACAATCAGTATATAGTGTTTGCAATTTAAATAATTGCATTTTTTTAAAGGTAATTACAATAAAAAAATATTGTATATATCTTATATCATATTACGGTATATTTCCTGAAAAAAAACAATTTACGGTACGATATAAAGTTTTCCAAACATTTTCAATAAAATTTTTCACAAAAATCGCATTAAATTAATAATGATTTATTTAAATTTAAGAAAAAATCTCAATTATACTAATAATTATTTGTAATGTTGTTGTAGGCGATATTTTTTTAGTTTGTTTAATAAAAATACTGTTTTTTCAATAAATATATATATAAGTAAACAATTTTCATATATAAAAACAACAACATTTACCTATATATTTAACAATATTTTATCAAATGATTATTATTACTATTTTTTTGTCTCAAATTGATATATAGAATATAAAACAATGATATTTTTAATACCGATTTAAATATATGTTTTACTTTATGATACTAATTACAATAAATACAGTAGTTTTCAAGCAAAAAATATTACGGTAAATATACGGTATAAATAGTAAATGAAATACAAAATAACAAACAATAATATAATTTTATAACATTTTTCAAAATTATATATAAAAAAAAACTATGACATCAAATGAAACCTCAAAATTCAACTCAACTTAAATTATTTATACAGTAATTTTAGACAAAAAAAATAATAATATGTAATAATATCCGATATAATTGTATTAAATTAATTAAATTAAAAAATCAATTTAGTTGTCATAATCGTCGTCTTCATCGATGGTCTGAGTATTTAGTGATGACGTCGTCGTCGCCGCCGAAGAAATGGATGTGGCCATCGATTGCTGGTTATGATGTCTATTAATGGTGATGACTGATGCAGCACCTGATGGACCACCACTTGTGATATTATTATTATTATTTATATTTATATCATTGACAACATTTGTATTATTCATATTATTACTAATATTACTAATATTATTATTAATAGACAGAGGACTGTCCTCTTCGTCATCGCTTTCCTCTTCGTCGTCGTCCTCATCGTCAGACTCTTCATCCTCTTCCTGATCGTCAAAAGTCGATACCCAAGACTGTGCCGATAATTCATTCAGTTTTTTTCGTGGACGACCTCGTCTACGAAATCCAGTGGCTGCCGCCTGACCCGAAGCAGACAACAATTGTTGGCCACCACCACCACTGCTACTCGAAAGTTGTCGACGCGGCGGCGGTTGCGTTGAACTCGTAGTAGTATTGCCGCCGCCGCCAGTGTTCACAGCAAACGATTCGTCCTCGTCCTGATCGGCTCCGGGATTAACGTCGGGTATGGACTGAGCAATATCTCGCAAAAACTGAAAGTGTTGGTCGCCAAGAATCGAGGCCTTACTGTTTGATTATCAGATCATTATATTATAATGACATCAAATTCAGATCAAGTGTTGATTAATACAAACATGTGATTAGGTGTTAGTGTACGTGCGTTACGACTTCGGGTGATCGCTGAGGACGAGTGAAGCAGCGATTGGACAAACATCTCGAGTGCTTTGGCTGTTATGCAAACAATGGTTATTATGATATCATTAAACAAATCAATTGATGAAATATGTCTTCAAGTATTTACACATACATATGATAATTGGTACCACTTGTGCCACTTTGCCGACCTCGTCGTCCGATTGCATTATCTTCTTGATCCTCGCCGGCGGGAACCGACTGTTGTACTTCTTTTTCTTTGACGGCATTCCTTCCTTCCTCTTCTACTTCGATATGAATGACAGACAGATAGACAGCTGTTTATGGGATCAGTTGATTGACAGATACAACACAGATGTTGATGGTGTCGTCACTATCATCGATAATATAGACATATATATCATGAAACAGGAGATAATCAAAGACAAGTTTGTCATCAAAAACAACAAAACATATTACGAGACAATTACCTGATGACAGATGTGATGTGTCGGTGATGTTGTTATTGTTGTTGTTGTTGTTGTGACCAACTGTTTGATGATTACTACTGTGTTGTTGTTGTTGTTGTTGTTTGTGTCGATACAGTCAACACATTATAGAGTACAGTACAGTACAAGTAATGTATACGTACTCTATATTAATAATACATAAAAAAAACAGTAAAAATTTTCAACATTACTTAATAAATAGTGTATACTGTACACATAGTATATACTACAGTAAATGTATAAATATATGTACAGTAAATATACTGTGAGTTGAAATCTACAGTTAAATCCCTGAACTGTACTGAACTATTGTATTAATACAATATACACTGTATATTATACACTACAGTATAGATCACTTACAGTACTTTAAATTCCCCATATTTTCCTATAAAAACTTGAAAAATGAAAAAACAATTTTTAAAATTATTATAATTTTATTATAATTTTATAAAATAATTCTAAAAAAACAATAAATTGATTAAATTTTATTAAGTATTTTTGTTGATATTAATTAAACATTTAAAAAAAATATTTTATATAAAACAGGGAATTTATATGAAAACTTCTTGTTTTTTACTTATTTTAACTCTAAAATTAATATTTTATTTTTTTATATAAGTTTATTATAATAATATAATACCTGTAGTAAGTTTCTGTATATAGTTTTATAATCATCAATAACGTCCAATAAACCAAATATAATATACCAAAAATAAAAGTAGTTATATTTTAGCACACATAGAAAAAGTTAAAATGTACTAGATAATAATTTTATATAACAAATTATCAAGATAAATTATTATAGTGTTATATATATATAATTAATTTAACAAATAAAAATACAATAGACTTAAAATGAGTATATATATATATATATACTCATTTTAAGTCTATTGTATTTTTATTTGTTAAATTAATTATATGTACAGGTATATTTTTTATAAAATTTAATTTCATATCTAACATTTTAAACACTTAACATATTGTAGATTAAATTTATTAAATTAGATTTAATTTATATTATAAAAAATATTTTTCTTAAATATAAGTAATTTAAATATATATATATTAATTTCTAATAAATATGAAGCAATAAAATTAAAACCATAAGTTAATTTATATATAAAATAACTATAACTTTAAATATCGTATATAATGACTGTATTATACAGTTAAAAAAATTGTGAAATCTTTAAAAAAAATTAATTACATAATAACATTTTATAAGGTATATCAAATGTACTTTTTTTTAAAAATTAAACTTTAATTAAACATTTTTAATTAAGTTAACTACCATCTTTTTTTAATTATATAGATTTTATATATCAAACTTTTATAATATTAAAACCACTTTACTTTCTAAGTGTTAGGTATAATATACATCCAGTTTTTTAAATATTTGATTTATCTATTGTTTTATTATAACCGACGATAAAAATGTTACAATTTGTATGTCTGGCACTAGTGGTGTCCGGATCACTAGGTTTGCCTATTTTACCACAACCTGAACAACAACAACAACAGCAGCAGCAGCAACAACAACAACCACATCCACAACAACAACTACAACAACAACAACCACAACAACATTTGGGCACTGACCTACCAAATGGTTTGGGTATCAATCCATACAATAGACAATCTTTATTCAATCCATATGTTAGCCGATATTATACTTTGAATAACTTGGCTCTCAACCCGTGGAACAATCATAGACAAGGTGTCTATGGACCGGGTGGTTACGGTTATGGTGGTTATGGCGGTTATGGCGGTTATGGCGGTTATGGCGGTTATGGCGGTTATGGCGGTTATGGCGGTTATGGCGGTTATGGCGGTTATGGCGGTTATGGCGGTTATGGCGGTTATGGCGGTTATGGTGGTTATGGATTGTCATACAATTTAAATAATAATCCACTTGTCATAAACCCATTATCACTAAATTTGGGTTTCAATCCGTATGGTTTCAATGGCATAGGATATGGACTTAATGGATATAATCTAAACTCTGGATTGAGTGGAGGTTATGGCTTAGGCTACGGATTAGGTGATAATGGTTTTGGATATGGTTTAGGGGGTAATGGACTCGGATATGGTTTAGGCAGTAATGGACTCGGATATGGTTTAGGCGGTAATGGACTCGGATATGGTTTAGGCGGTAATGGACTCGGATATGGTTTAGGCGGTAATGGACTCGGATATGGTTTAGGCGGTAATGGACTCGGATATGGTTTAGGCGGTAATGGACTCGGATATGGTTTAGGCGGTAATGGACTCGGATATGGTTTAGGCGGTAATGGACTCGGATATGGTTTAGGCGGTAATGGACTCGGATATGGTTTAGGCGGTAATGGACTCGGATATGGTTTAGGCGGTAATGGACTCGGATATGGTTTAGGCGGTAATGGACTCGGATATGGTTTAGGCGGTAATGGACTCGGATATGGTTTAGGCGGTAATGGACTCGCATATGGTTTAGGTGGTAATGGATTCGCATACGGATTAGGCGGTAATGAATTCGGGCATGGCTTAGGCGGTAATGGATTTGGATACCAATCTAGTAATAGTGGACTCGGATATGGTTTAGGCAGTAATGGACTCGGATATGGATTAGGCGGTAATGGATTCGGATACCAATCAAGCAGTAATGGATTCGGGTATGGTTTAGGCGGAAATGGATTCGGTTATGGTTTAGGCGGTAATGGATATCAAGTAGGAGGTAATGGATACCAATTAGGCGGTAATGGACTTGGATTTGGTAATAATTGGTATAATCCCCTAACAATTAATCCATTAGCACTTCATCTTGGTTTTAATCCCTATGGTTTGAGTGCTTCATCTTATTCTTATAATTATTAGATTTTAATTAAATAGTGTTTTTGTAATTTAAAATAATTATAAAAAAATATTACAAAATGTTTGTTCACTATTTTAAATACTTTGGTATAATATTTGCGTATTGTTTATCTTTGTTGACAAATAATAACATATTGAAAAATATGTATTATTTTTTATGACAATTAAATGTGATTTTATTTTGAATATCATAAATAATTTAATTTTTATATTATGTGTATTATAATTACAATATTATTTATTAAAATGTTAAAAAAAATTATAGAAACTAAAACTACTGTTTTTAATATAAATTATTCTGCATTAATAACAGTATCTATTGTACAGCAGTTTATAATACAGTTATTTTTTTAATTTAAAAATAATTAAAAAAATAGTTTTATTATTTTTGAAATAAGTTAATTTATAACTATAGATAATAAATATTATGAATTGATCAATTGACTCCTGATAATATTATTTCTAAAAAAAATATTTGCTAAAATTTTAATTTACTCTATTATTTATATTTATATAATAGTATAAATTTGATATCATTTACTAGAAATCTAATATACACTGTAATCTACAAAATACATGGTCATATTAGATGCTTATTATTAAATTACATATTAGATAACTAAATAAAATAATTATATTAGTTTGTTTAATGTATATATATATATATAAATTATTTAATTAATACAATGACTTTAAAATATTTACTGATATATCAATATATAAAAAAATATTATACAGTCCTTAGCAATAAATATAAGCCCAAAATCGGGTGCATATGACCACACATATAAAGGCCACACCAATAGTCATCAACGGCGGGCGACATATCCAAGTGCGCCAATTCCACCATTGATATCCATAAGCTCGACACTGACCACTGGCTATTAGCCAATCGTTTTTCTTGTACAACAATTGTTTGATTTGCTTATAGTCGCTGTCGGCACACATTTGTTTGGCCGCTTCCGCTATACAGTCGCTCGTATCAAACATATAGCAACAAAATCGCCGGTCAGTCTGTTGGACACCCATTTCCAGCCATTCGTAGGCACTGGTGCCGGCACACCACAGGCCCCGTACACTGAGTTTGGTACCGCACCAGAACTGGTCGACCAATTGTTTCAGCGTTTGTCTCCAATCGGCTTTCGGATGCACCCGTAGGTCAGCTATTCTGTTAATATTATTATTGTTGATATTGTTGTTGTTGTTGTTGTTGTCATTGTCGGTGATTACAGTATTAATAATAAAAATATTTGATGATAATATTAATAATATTATGGTCAATAAAGATTGTAGATATACATACATATCGATATCGATAATTGTGTAGTAATTATTGTTAAAGTATTTAAATATTATTCAAAACAATTTATATAAAATTTTATTATGTTTTCATTACATTGAGAAAAAAAGGTAACAAAAAAAAATAATAACTAATTCAATTATTGTTATATGATGATATGCTGGGCAACTTGAAAATTATCAATGTATAATATATATATAATATATTATATGTATTTCATATAATTTTTTTAAAACTGTATTATATTATAGTATTATACCGGTATATTTCATAAAGTAAATTATCAAAGTGTATATACTATCTAGAATTTTTTTGTTATCAAATAAAAAAAATTAAGTGAAATTAATTGCAATTAAATTAATTGCAATTAAATTAATTGCAATTAGAAATTACATTTAGATTTCTAATTTAACAAATATAATATATTAATCGATAATAGTATTAATTGATAAATAATTGATACGATTTCTAATAATTTTCTCGTATATTAATATTAAAGTCAATATCAAAATTGTTGCCACAATAGTAATGCCAATACTTATCAATATCTTACTGGTGTTTGATAGCTGTAGTGTTGTTTCATTAATACTATTATTGATTGTATTATTATTATAATTGTCATTAAATGGACAATTATTATCACTATTTAATATATTATTATTATTATTATAATCACTATAATTATCGTTATAGTTATCATAATTTACGGTTAACATAAAATTTTTAATTAACACATCAATTGTTATAAATTTGTTTGCAGTTTTCAATAAGATTACTGGCAATTGTTGGCACAAAATAGATTTATTATAATTTGATGAATAGCTAAATGAAATAAATTCAGTATTATTTGCGATACCAATTAAACAAAAATCATCGTCCAATTTGTTAATAATTAGTTTATTATCCAATTGTGTAACATTAGGCGTACATTTTGTGTCAATTTGTTTTTGATTTTTATCCAATAAAGTTGTGTCAATGCTATTAATATTATTTAGTGTCGATTCAAATTGCATAGACATCAATGTTATATGAGTTAAATTTTGATAAAACCTAAACAAAAATATAAATATATATATATATATAAGAAAAATTTATAAAATTGCAATTAAATTAAGTGATATAACTTTTTCTTTAAAAAAAAATTTCAAACCTTAATGTCAAACTAGTTTTATCATTTGTATAATGTCTAACTGTAAAGTTTTGTTGAGGTTTACAATTATTATTATTAAGATTAGTGGTGTCAACAATCAAATGTGAATTAGTTTTATCGAAATTTAAACCAATATTTTGCTGAATATTATCTTTTAGACGATATTTGATAATAACATCAATTGAGGTAAAATCTATATGAAAACAATGTCGACGATTTGTAGTAGTAGTACTAGTAATAGGCCTTTGGGTTGTCATATTTATGGACATTAGTTCACTATTACTGTTGCTATTTATATATGTTGTTTCCTTGCCTGGGTTATTATATACCTGGGTTATTGTTTTATTTTTCTGGTCAATTATTGATGATATAGTAGTAGATGATAACTGCAATTTTCGTCCATCTGTTAAATCATAATATCTTTTACTACTAGTAGTAGTAGTGCTGTTCATATGGTTATTGATTATAATATTAGCTAATCTTGTAGTTGTAGTAGTAGTAGTAGATTGTGGTGTTGTTGTTGGTGGTGGTGATGATTGTGTTATATGAGATATAATCAATTGATTTTTAGTTATCATTGTTGTCTGATTTGATGATGATGATAATAGTAAATTTTTATTTAATAAACTAGTATCATTTAAATTGATGATATTTTTGTTGCTATTGCTCATAGTAGTAGCAATTGTTTTAATTTCGTAATTATTATTATTATTATTATTACTAGTGGTTGTTGTAGGGTTGACACTAGTTGTACTAATATTTTTAATATCAGTATTGTTGGCATTGGTTTTTGTAAAAGTATTAAAAGTATTATTATTATTATTGTTATTATTATCATTAAAAATATTATCAATGAATAAATCATCTAATGATGAATTGGATACACATTTAAAGTTTATTAATAATAATAATAGTAATAGTGATATGATTTTAACTATCATATTTATAATATTTGATATTTTTAATTCATTCATAATGATTTTAATTATGATTTACAAAAATTTATTTATAAAAATATATAAATATTTAGACTTTAATCAATTATAATATTGTTATAATAATAAAAAATTATAAAACAATAAATCTTTCAAACAAAATACAAAACATAATAAACAATATTAAATCAAATGATAGCTAAACTTATTTTTTAATATAATTATTATTATTATGTATATGTCATTAAAATCTAGATTTCTATAGTTACATTTTTATAGATAAAAATATAATCGTATTTTATAAATATTTATTTCACTTATGCTGTGATACAATATTATGATTTCATAATAATTGCCACAACAATGGGGTAATAATACTGTAATATAGCACAGGTACTTTAGTAAAGTTTTTATATTTGCTATTAAACATATAGTTTGCAATAATGTTATATTTAAAACCTTATACATATAATATATTGAAATTTAATGATTAGTAATTTTTAAAAAAAATTAATTACAGATTTTTTTCAACTATTAAAAAATGTATTATTTCAATAAAACCAATTTAATAATTAGACTAAAAAAATTAATACTAATATTTTTGGTGTTTATCAATATAAAAAATGCTAATGGATTGCCATCATATGGATCCTTATCATCACCCGATGCCACCATAAAACCCAGTCCATGGTATCCCTGGGCTGTCAGAGACAGTTTAGATCGTGAGGTGGTATGCATTTTGGCTACATTTAGTGCACAATTTTTTTTAGCATTACCACCACCGCCATCATCAGCACTGATACCACAAAAATCAGATATTATCACCACTAGCTATATCATCAATCCGTTTAACATGGAAACAGGTGATCAATCTGATTGTGGACAACAAAAACAGATATTACATTTGGTGTTTGACGACAGCGACAAAACTAGACTACAATTATGGTTTACGTTTGAACGGGACCAACATTTAATCAAAGTTACTAATATAACGCTTCAATATCGGCATACAGTGTTCACCAATACATCCAATCAGTTTGAAACACCTGTCAAGTATGGCTACAAGTGTTTCGCTCAGGAACGTATAGATTTTGATGGTAACACCAATAGTTTTATGAATATCTCGAACGTACGGTTGGAAGCATTTAGGACGACCAACTATTTTGTCAATATATCCGACTCAGATCAATGGGAACGGGAGGGACTCAAGTGCGATGATGACCGCATCGGTTCCGATGCTTATATGATTACCGGTATTAGTGTGGGATGTGGTGTAGCTATGCTTACGGTGATTACATTGGTTGCCATTTGGTCCGGTAGGCAACAGGAGAGACGTATGTTGAAGATTAAAATGATGAGACAGTGGACTATTGATAATAATAATAATAATAATAACAATAATAATAATCTTAATACTAATTTTAATTTAATTAATGCTTTAATGAGTGAACAAAATGTTCATAATAATAATGATAATGATAATAATGCTAATAATAATAATGCTAAAATTAATAATAATAATAATAAATTATCAATTACCAATGCTAATTATGCTAAATCTCAAAATGAAAAATTTTAAATATTTAAAAAAATAATAGATTATATATTAAATTATTTTAATTGTAGATTTTAATTTAAAAATTATTTATTTATTTATTTTAATTACTTAATAAAATTATTTATTTTTTAAAATCTAATCTAAACTTGTTTAATATTAACTGTATTAGCTAACTTATTATAATACGGTATATTAATTTAGGAATTAGTACATTTGGACAATTAAAATTGTCAAGCAAATAATATTTTTAAAAATAATATAAATGTTTTTAAAAGTATTTAAAATAAAAATAATGAAAATTATAAATGAAACACATTTTTCATTAATATTATTTAGTAACATATTTGATATCAATATATTTAATAATTTGATTACTGTTTAACTGTTGATAAAAATTTTATTAATTTTTTTGTTGATAAGACGACAGGATTTTTCGGGTAATTAATTGATAAGATTATAATTATAAAAATAATGATTTATATATATATATATATATTATATATATTCATACTATTCAAGTGTTCAAAAATCATTTAGTTTTGTTGTTACGGGACTTGCGTTTTGTGTTTACAAAGTTTTTCTATCTATCATTAAGTAAAATCATATCAAAAAAAATTAAGTAATAAAATTTTTATTATATTATAACAACAAATAATAATATCTGCATTAATATTTTTAAAATTTTTATTTTTATTTTTACTTTTTTATATATCCTATATAACTAGTTTATTAATAAAAATATATATTGTTTGTTATTGACAAAAAAAAATTAATAATTATAAGTCTAAATATTAATACAGTTTTACGAAAAATTAAAGTAAAAAAAAGTTAATACTAAAACAGTTAAATAATGGCCCGAAAACACTCGGATATGGTTATACTAAACGGCAATTCACACCCGCAGTTGGCCAACTCTATAGCCTCCCGATTGAACGAAAAACTCGGTTCATGTTCACTGTACCGAACGTCCAACCGGGAGTCAGTGCTGGCCATTGGTGTATCAGTCAGAGCCCGTGATGTCTATCTTATACAGTCGGGAGGTCCTGATGTCAACAACAACATTATGGAACTGTTGATTATGGCCTATACGTGCAAAACTTCGGCCGCCAATAACATTGTCGGTGTAATACCGTATCTGCCGTACGGTAAACAGTCAAAAATGAGGAAACGCGGATCAATTGTCAGCAAACTGATGGCCCAGTTGATGGTTAAGGCGGGATTTACTCATTTGATTACTGTCGATATGCACCACAAAGAGGTATTACTGTATATTATGATAATAACAATAATACTAAAATAATATACTGGTATTTAGACCCAAGGTTTCTTTGATATACCCGTCGAAAACTTGCGGGCCTCGCCTTTCCTGTTGCAATACATCCAGGAAAACATTACTGACTATCGCGAAACGGCCATAATAGTGGCCCGATATCCCGGTGCCGTACGCAAAGCCACCTCGTATGCCGAACGACTGCGCATCGGGTTGGCCGTCATTCACGGCGAAGATAAAGAAGCCGAAACTGACCACGTTGACGGTCGTACGTCACCGCCGGCCGCTCTGGCTCATCAAGAGTTCGATCTGTTTGTCGGTTTGGACGGATTGCCGTCGTTTCCGGCCAAAGAGAAACCACCGATCAGTATCGTCGGCGATGTTTCGGGTCGTGTGGCCATTATGATCGACGACTGTATCGACGATGTACAAAGTTTTGTGACCACTGCCGAACATTTGCGCGATCACGGTGCCAGCAAAATATACGTATTGGCCACTCACGGGTTTTTCGGACCGGACGCTCCCGGTCTGATAGAAAACTCGCCCATCGATGAAGTTATTGTTACTAACACTGGTATGTACTGTAAATATAATATAAGTTACTTTTAAGCACCTGCATCTAAATTATATATTAATTGATTATTGTCCCCCAATTTAAATCACTACCTACTAGTGCCACACGAGCTCCAGAAGATGCGGTGCAACAAAATCAAGACAATCGACATCTCTATACTATTATCGGAAGCCATGCGTCGGATACAAAATAACGAGTCGTTGAGCTATCTATTCAAGAATGTCGCTCTCGAGGACTGATTTTTATTAATTTAATTAATTAATTAATTGATTAAAATTTTAGTCAAATAATAATAATAATCAAAATAAGAGATATTATTATTATTTTTGTTTATGTTATTATTATGAATTTATTATTATAGTAATTATTTTTTTTAAATAAATATTTTTAAACATTAAATAAAAACTTTAATATTTTATTTTTATATGTTTCTGGTTTAATAAATTAAGTTTCAAAAGTGGTCTAAACAACATTTGAATAAAAATTTAAAAACATAAAAATATCTAAAATTTAATAATTTTTATTTAGTCAAAGTTTATATTATTATTATAATAGCAGTACATATTTTGATGAAAAATGAAATTTATTAATGTTTAGATGTTATTAGACATTATTAGAGATATTACTTTAAATTAAGTAATATAAGTTCATAAGTTTTATAAATATAATTTTATTAAATAAATTATTTTTTGTATTTATACGATATTTACAAAATACTGTATAATATTAGCTATAATTTATTATTATTATTATTATATTTTTCAATGTTAGTTGATATTACAGTATTATCATAATAATAAGTTACTATAATTTGAAGAGATATTAAATAATTTAATTTAATTTTTCTCAAAAAATAACATAAATAAATATACATATTTTGTTAAATATTAATTCATATATATATTATACTTACTGGTATAAAACTATATTTTATTTTAATTATGCTTATTAGTAGTATACGAATATTATAAATATGTTCAACAAAAATAAAAATAAAAAATTTATTTAATTATTACATAATTAACATATTACAAAATATAATTTATATTTACTATATATATATAAACAGGTAATGTTGACCAAAAAAATAATAATTTTTATTTTAATTTATAATTATTAAAAAAAAATAATTATTAAAATTAAATAGCTATATATTAATAAAAATTAATCATCATTGCCAAAAATTGATGGCCACCATTTAAATCCAGTTCCCATTTCCTGTTGATGTTCGTGACCACCACTATGATGGCTGTTACCAAAAATGGATGGCCACCACTTCATTGGTTGCATTGGTTTTATCATTGGCATCATACCGGTGCCCATACCCATACCCATACCCATGCCCATATTCATACCACCAAAATAATTTGATCCCGGCGCTACAAATCCCGTTCCGCTAGACATTGCATTATAGTGATAGTCATTGTTTGGACTATAGATGAAAGATAAAAAACAATATATTTTATATCAGTGTCTTATTATTATTGATTTATTAGTAGTTTATTAGTATTCAAATTATTAGGTTTTTTATATTTGAAACTATTTGATAATTTGCAATAATATGTTTTCTATATATATATATACAAATGCGTCAAATAGTTGCAAATATATAATAAACAAAAAACAACTAATTATATAATCTATTGTAAGATATTATAATAACTAAATTAAATATCAAATGATTGATTAAAAAATTAGTGTATTTCTATACAAACAATAAACTAGAAAAAAATTAATAGTTTTTTTGTATTTATTAAATTACAAGACAAATTGAAAATGACAATAATAAGCACCTGGATGACACGTAACTATTATAGGCATATCCCGGACCATTGGACGCCACGAAATGTGAACCATCAATACCGAGACCATGGCTAACAATTTGTGTGCCATACGGTGATGGGATTATATATGTAAACGGCCGGCACTCGTAGCCGCCATTAACCAGTAGTATAATCGCAATTATAGCGACAATTATTTTAATTATTGCTAATAAAGAGGAACTCATTTTTTTATGTTAAACTTTACACTAAAAACTATTAATTTTGTCAACCATTTAAGTAAATGTGTAAACAATTTTGTTATATATATACTGTATACTAATATACATGTTTATTACATTAACATTACATTACATTAAAAATAATTTTAAATTATTTATTACTAATATTTTAGATTTCTTTAGAAAATATAAAAGAAAATTTTCAAACATATGGGCCGTAAATATATAGTCAATGAGTAATTCATTATATAATATAGTAAACATTTATTTCAATATTGTAAATATAAATGATAGTTATAAAAAGAAATATTATTTTTGTTTATCAATTTTAAATATTTTAACAATTAAATTTGAAAAAAAACATTAAATATAATTATCATTTAGATTTAATAAAATAATACTCTATAATCTAAATTAGTATAGTATTCTAGTACATAATTATTAATATTTTTAAATTTACAATATTTTAATCTAGCAAAATGTATAATTTTTATTTAAAAATAAAGAAATATAATCAATTATCTAAACATTTAAGTAAATTAAAAAATTAAATAATTTTCTAATAAAATTATTGTATATAGTTAATAGCAAAATTACAATAAATCAATTTTTTTAAAGATTGCACAATTATTTACTATGAAATAACATTAAATGTTATCAATATGTTAGAAATGTTTTATTATATGCTTTTTTAAATAATATGTCAAAAATCAATACATTAATAATATGTAAATGCAATTTAGTGAATAAATGTGTGTATAAAACATATTTTTAGTTGACTTAATGGATGATAATTTAATGTTAATGAATCTTAAGGGAATTATTATACTATATATGAAAACATTTTTTAATTTTTTTGCGCAATGTTGCATAACTATATTAATCATTAWATATATATATTTTTAAAATAAAATCAGACACTTATAATTATTAATTAATTACATGTAAACATGTAATCTCCAAAAAWTTTTTATTTATAAATAAATAAATAAATATTACAAGTTGTTTCTTTATAATATATAATTTTTCATATTTATATTTTGTGCACAAATGTGTTTGTGTGTGTGTTTAACATTAAGTAAATCACAATAGTTTAGTTAATATCATTAAAATAATATAAGATATATTTTAATATCAATATTAAATACAATAATTTGTATAATTATTATAAAATTTTAATATAGTATACATTAATATAGTAAAGTAATCAAAATTAAGTAATATATATATATATTAATTATTATGAAATTAATATATTACACTTAAATGACATTGATAAAATAAATAATTTAAATATCTATAGAATTAACATGATATAATTTGATATAAGCACAAATAAAATTTTTTGAATATACAATCAAATTGAGGCAATCAATGACATACTATATCATATGTATGTGCAATAATAATAATAATAATAATAATAATAATAATTAAATAGAAATTTGTTTTATTAAAATAATTAATAATAACATTATATATATATAAAAATAATCTCACTGTCATCTTAGATATAATAATAATAATAATGATAATACAATCAAATTGAATCAATAGATTAACATTTTAAATCTATRTATAAATTTAACATGTATTATGATATGTAGGATGTTATCTATATAAATATTATATATATTTATTATATAAAAAAGTCTAAATTAAAATAAAAGCTTACAATAAGAGACAACAATATATTAAAATTTATCATTAATTGTACAAACATTTATCAGTATTATATTATCTTAACTATAATAAACTGTTTGTTATTGACTAATAAATAAATAAATGTTGTCAACAATAATAACAACAACAGTTATACAAACATTTTCAACAAATTAATAAATAGATAATACTGTAATAATAATAATAAATTTAAACAATCTCTTAATTATACATTAATACAAACAATTCATTTTTAAAATATATATATATATRTATATATATATATATAATTAGTTTATATAAAATTTACATTGTAAATTCTTTAATTGAAATATTTCTTAAATTAAAATTTTTAAGGTTTATATATATTAAATATATTTCAATCAATAAATTGTGCTTGGTGCTCAATTAAATCATAGATAATTGGCAATTTAATAGTATTAATTAATTTTTAAAAAATAACACTCAAAATTGTGGAAATTTGTTTAAATTAATAAAATTAATAATTATCAGAAAAATATTAGTTAATTTAATATACTGTATCCGTATAAAAAAACCAATTAAAACATATACTACAATATCTATATACTTAATAGTAATAATAATAATAATTTATACCTATATTTTTTTGTAAAATAAATATGTCAAATATAGTAATACGATTTATTATATAATAATTTACTATTATTATTAAATGGCAATCGTTTTTACGGCGGCTTTCAATATATATATTCAAATAAATATATTATTAATTATTTGGCAAAAAATTATACAATAATAATAMAGTATTAATTAATACATAAATATATAGTAAATTGTTAATATATAGTAATAAAATAGTAAAATCATAATTTAGTAATATTATGGGCATAAAGAAAATATCAATCGGAAAATTGCTTAACATTATCAAAYGTATCCAATTTATACCATTTAATGGTTAGCTTATGTAGCTCCAATTTGTTAACATGTATTTCAGTGGCACCGATAGGCATATTATGTTCAAAACCCCGTTGTTTTTCCCAAATTGACACCAATAGTGTGCGTCCGTAGATCATTGAGGCGTCGTATTTCAATGTTTGCTTATACTGTGGACTACTATCACTTTGGACTACCCGGGTCTTGCGTTTGTGCATATGACGGCCCTTATCGCACAGGTAGATTTTCACATAGGTGTCTAATATTGATGATAACAATTGATATATATATATATATATAGGTATTGATGGATAATATAACAATTAAATACCTGGAGGTTGTTGGTTGAGACCGACCATCAAATTTCGGGCACAGATCACCTCAATCTCTAGCAAACCTTTTGTCATAATAAATCCCAATTTGATTTCACCGCAACACTGCTGCCGGTGCAGCTGTTGACCACCACCACCAATAACGCCAGTATCGACACTGTCCTGCATTTCGGTGTCGCACAACAGATCAGAGGCCGAGCCGACACTATCGCTGCGGCTATTGGTCGTCGTATTATTAGTCTGATCCGATTTCAGCGAATAACTTCGTTTTAATTTGGCCTGAGCTAAGGCCGATGAACTTTTGCGTCGAGTCCGCGGATCGTACTGAGGGGCCAACAGTTCCTTYAGTGACGGGTCTTGAGGGTTGAGATCGGTAACCGAATGGCGCGAATTGAGCCGCAAATTGGATCCACGCAATTGYTGCGGTATATTCATGACGACAGCCGCCGCTTCGTCCACCGAATGTCGGCCACTGCCCGACGAGGCCAACGATGGTTTTGACGGATGCTGTGACAGTTGGTCGTAGCAAATGCTGCTGCGATCGGAGTTGCGTCGACTGCCGGGCATTGAACGCCAGCCGTTGGTCATCGGGTCGTCGCCTTTGATTGCTATTTATTAAATTTAAAAAAACACAATAAAATCAATTTTAATGCAAATTATGTTTTTAAAAAACAAAACAAAATTATAGGAAATTTTTTAAACATAGAATTACATAAAAATGTTAAAAGAAACAAATGCTATTATATATATATACAGTATATATACATATATATATATATATAATTAATATACCGATATACTCCATGGAGGTGGCCCTGATAAAAGGGGCGGTCGTATTGGGCGCCAATAGTGGCCACCAATCGATATGATGGAGAACGGCACTGCGCAACGGTATAACCGTAGTGGCCAGTGGTCTAGCATCGRCGGCAGCGACAACAGTCTCTGCTGTAGTGCCTGTAGTTGTTTCCCAAATACTTATGCTTAATGCCATATCGGCRACCTGGGGTTATAGTAATATTATTTTATAATATTGATATTAAAAATAATAAATTATTATATCATTTATAATATTATGAATTTATATATTTAAAAAAATCAATTCATACCTTATCGATGGGGAACTGTTGGAAAATCATAGTCTCGTTCCACTCTAATGATAAACTGGGCTCTGTTTTACATATTTTAAAACCACTGGATATAATAGAAAAGAGATATAAAGTATATTTTAGAAAATTATTATATATATATATAGTATATATAGATTAAATTATGATTACAAGTACAACAACAACAACAAACATATAAATATTATAATAATAATTATAATTTAATAATAAATTGAAATTCTAGGTAATTATAGTACTATAAACTAAAAATTAAAGTCTTAAAAATATATTCATTATATTTTTTTATGACAATATCAGCTAAATATGATAATTATTAACACAAAACAAATTTAATTATGCAATAACATTGCTTTATGAATATTATTATTATTATTATTATTACTTTATAGCATTATAATCATCTTTAATGATAATAATAATAATATTTTTATTATTATTAAGTATTAATTTATTAAAAGCATAGCTAAAACCTAAAATTTTCGTATATGAATAATAATTAGATTTATGTACGATATATAAATTATATATAATATACCAGTATATACTGTACTGTATAATAGGATATAAATAATTTATATATTTTATATATTAGAAATAAAATATTGCATTAATATTCATTAACAAATAGATTATTAGGATATAATAATAATACAAAATTATCACATACATTGTACATTGTATATAAGTTTATAGTGGGTTAAAACAATAATATTAATTTCAAATATACATATATAAATGTATTTATATAAAGTATTATTATTAATACAGTAATGTACATGTATTTGTATTAATAAAATCCGACTGTTATTTGTATTTTAATTTGATTTATTATATTTCACGACTCATAAKCTATAAATAAATAAAATTATAATTTAGATTTATATTCTGTACATACAGTATACTACAAGTAAAGTATATATTAATATTTTTTCTCATCAAATGACAACTATAGGTATATTTATATATACTTTATAATATAAAGTATAGATATTATTCTATATATTTGTATAGTATATATCAGGACTATATATATAAATCTAAAAATATTATGTCAACATAACTACTACTACTACTACTATAATACTTTGTATATTTAAATATTAAAAAAAATATGAGACCTAAGCATTTACAAGCTATCAAAAATATCAATATATGAAAATTTATATAATAAATTATGCATACACATACACTATAGAAAATTTATATATAAATCTTATTTTGATTTTTATATTTGTATTTACAATAGCAAAATAAATACATAAAAAAATAAAATAGTTAGTTTCACTACCTACAAGATAACGATTAATATTTTACTATTTATTTCATATATATATATWTMATATAAAAAATATATATATACATCATATCATATATTTTAGATTTTATAATAAAGGACTAAAATATTTTTCTGACATATCTAATGATAAATAACAATATAATAATGATTAATATTGTATAATATTGTATAATATTGATAATATGTATAATATTGAACAAATTATTATTCTTTGACAATACATTATCTAAAACTTGTGAAAACATTATAAAAATAATAATAAACTATTTTGAAAATAAGATTATATTTTAATTTATGATACAAGCAATGTATAGATAATATTGAATATATAATTTTGTTTTTCAAATCATAAAAATTTTGTTAACATTTATTTATTAACATTATATATATAAATTTATTTATATAATATAGACAGTACCTATAAACTGGTAGTTTTTAAATTATAGAAAAATTATTTTTAAARTACYAATTTTTAATATACATTAATGATATATAAATTATACATACAGCTCGGGTAGTATATGCAACTGTGCAAAAGCAGGTGCATTAAGTAGRGTTAGACGTTTGGCGCAAATCAGACCAATGGTTAGCTGTTTGTGATCGGTGTCCAGTGAACACTGAACTAGTATTTCTCCCTGTTTTGTTGTTGTTGTTGTCTCAGATTGGGAACCACTACCACCGGCCAGTAGCAGCGATTCGGGTGTTTTCGGTAGACGTCGCCGACTTGATAGACCAGCCGCTTGTGCGCCGCCGCTCTGGCCAACGCCAGACAAATCAATCGACGCCTGACTTAACATTTGGCTTAATCGGCGTCTTTGGTGAACAAAGTGGCCATTATTTTCGCTAAAAAAATTTAAATGTAAAATAATTTTAAGCGATAGTTAAAAATCATTAAATTATTAATTGATAACAAT